AACTCAAAGAAGTTTTTCAAAATTCTTGTTCCGGTATAACTCGTTACAACTTTAATTGACTTGTTTGAGTTTGTTCGAAAAAGTGTCATTTGTATTTGAAAATTGAGTTCGAGCTTCAACAAGACTAAATAAAGCTAGATTAAATAATGAACATTAATAAACTTGATGATATTATGTTTATTTTAAAAATTATTGTTATTTTAGATGAACTACTACAAGAGGGGGGGTGAATGGTAGTAGGTTCCAATCGCGGAACTTATGCGAAAATTAAAAACAAAACGTAAAGGAACTTAAAGCACACAGCAAGTTTTACGAGGAAACCATCCATTGCCCAACTGGAAGTAAAACCTCGGCCCTATTGGGACTTATAAACAAATTCCACTATAATAGGAAACTCTCCTAGTACAACCTATTACACAGACCTTTGCTTTGCAAGTTCCTCCTAAGACACTTGCTAATTGATAAGAACCTATCCTATCAGACCTAAGACAAACTCAGGCACCTTTTTCGACCCAAGACACACTCAGGTTCCTTTCTCGACCTAAGACACACTCGGATTCCTTTTTCTCACTGTGCAACCCAAGAGACACTCGGGGTGACTAAATACCACTCGAATTTTACGAGATTTCAAACTCATACACTCAAACGTGAATTTAAGAGAATTCACAATCTCACCCCAAAATCAAAAACACTCAAAACCCTTTTTCCCATTACAAGATCTCATTGAATATCCCTAAATACATATCTATGAATAAAGAGATAAAACTAATATGTTGAACACTCAAGATCTGTCTGGAACTCACTGGACGTACTGTAACCAAAAACCTGATAGGAACTTTGACCAGGAGGACTGACTTAGCTTCGTGGTGAAGGATAAAACCATTAAGCACGACCACTACACTTCGTCAGCCTCAACTTTGAATGAATACATATGAGCATATTTATAGTTACTCGAATTATTCATTTCATCTTGAAAAAGATAAGTTTTCTAAAAAGATAAGTTTAAAAGATATTTTCTAAAAATTAGTTTTCCGAAAATATATCTTTTTGTTAAGGATAAAATCTGTTATGAATAGTAAGATATAATTAACATAAAATCAGATTTTATTCCAATCTTATCTTTTTGTTTAAAAATACTTATTAAACAAATTTATCTTTTTCCAAAAGGGATTTATTAGAAGATAAATATCTTTATTCAGTAAAACCAAATCCCTAAAAGATATGCACGTATTAGATAAATATATATATCATTAAAACCGACTTTTAACGACGTGCATACTTAAGTTCCTATTAGGTTCCTGAACTCTGACAGTCTCTGAGTTCCTGACAAGTCAGTTACTCTAATTTCATTGACTGTTTGGAGTTCACCTTGGTTCTATATAGACTTGTTCCAGATCGACTTTTATGTCCAACTTACTTACATGAATTCTAGAGCAATATACTTCTATTTCTCTGTCTTCATGTTGCTTCTCTGAAACTCTTGTTCTGGAATCATTTAGTCTTGATAGATTCTGGATCTTAGGGTTTGCCCCAGCATTACACCTGAACCAGGTCGTTACAACCCGTTTTGAAGTTCCTGTTAAGAAACTTCTGGAAGTTCCATTTCTGGAACTCTTCTTCTAACTGTACTTGTATCCTCATGGATCTTCTAAAGTTCCTCTGTTTCAGTTCCTACTTCAGCCCTCAACGCTTACTGAACCTACAAACATCACAACACTAGAAAATCCTTATTAAATGGAGTTTGCTCAATTCTTAACATCATCATCAAAACCTCATAAGGGTCAACAAGTAGGGGTGTACATAAACTGGCCCGGACCTGAAAACCGACCTGAACCAGACCTGTTGGGACCGGACCTAATCCGGACCTGCAGATTCAGGTCCGGTCCCGGTCCTTGAAATTCTAGGATTCCGGGTTTCAGGTCCAGTCCGGGTAAAACCCGGAAATTTTAGGTCCGGACCTGAAACCGGTAAAACTATTTTTTTTATTTAATAAGTCTAAATAGGTCCATAAACAGGTCCATAACAGGTCCAAACAGGTCTAAACAGGTCCAATCAGGTCTAAATAGGTCCAAAACAGGTCCAAACAGGTCCAAAACAGGTCCAAACAGGTCCATAACAGGTCCAAACAGGTCTAAACAGGTCAGCACTTTCATCTTATTTTAAAAAAATCAAAAAAAAAAATAATCAGGTCTATTCAGGTCCAAACCCGGACCGGACCTGATTTATTAGGTCTGGACCGGAACCGGACCTGTTGATTCAGGTCCGGTCTCCGGTCCTTAAAAATCAAGGATTCAGGTCCCGGTCCATTCAGGTCCGGGTCAGGTCCGGTCCGGTTTTGGACCGGTGTACAGCCCTATCAACAAGTTGTCCCTTTTTGATGATGACAAACTGAGCAAAATTCTGAGAATAACAAAGTAAAACAGAAGGTTAGTTTTTTATTTATAAAAACAATAAAGAAAACTAAACTAAACTAAAAGACTCCTACACATACATAACCTATATATGTATAGGATACTTACCTTATGAAGCTAACATATGTAAACACATGTTTACATAGTTACCTTCATGGTTCCTTAGCCATCATCATGCTTATCAATCATAACACTTATCGTTGTTCTTGTTCCTCTATTGCTTATCTTATATTGCTCAAGTTCCTTACATATATACCTGTCATTACTCAGTTTCCTTGTATCCTGTTCCAAGCATAACTTGCTCTTTCTATGCACAACTTAACATACACGTTAGATAGATAATCATCATTAGTTTATGATCATCAAAACCTAATTAATCAACAATTATATTTCTAGTTAAAGTTATACAGGGATTATTTTGAGTTTGTACTATTCCAAAATAAGTTATAAATGGAACAATGATAAACTTATAATTGTTTGAACTTGAGTCATTTACTTAATGAGATTTAGATTTTTGTTCAAACTTGTTAGTGTGAACTCTATACAATAAGAAAGTGAAATTACAATATAAAACTTTATTGTTTGTCATGACTTTACAAGTGCTAAAGTTTTTTTTTTTTTTTTAAAAAAAAAAAAAAAGATAAGCACAATACTTCCTTATGCTGTAGGAGATATTAACTTTGGATTGCTTGAGTTTATTTAATACTCCATTATCTTCATTAACTATAGACAAAGTTGGCTTCTTTCAAGTGCTAATCGACTCATCGTCTTGAATAGTAAAAAGGTAGAGATCGAATTAATATTCCATCTTCATAAATTTTTTAAATGTCACATCAAAAATGTGATTAATTACATTAAACAGGAACATTTTGGAGAGTTGCTTTTTACCTCGCGTGAAAGGAAGCTTCTTATGATATTCTTTTAGTGGAAATTGATTAAAGTCTTATAGAAGAATCATTAATTTGGATTTTGTTGAAAACTTTTCTAGAAAGATGTGGACTATTACGGAGTAATCTCTTACATATTTAAAGATTAGATACATTTTTGTGTTAGTGAAGCTTTTTCCAATTGAAGTAACGTTAGTAAAGAAATTATATATTGGAATATATATTATAGTAATTTGTAAAGGAGCTACATTTGCTTATAGAATCAGATTTGTGCTTGTTTAATTCTATGCATACTCCATTTGCATTTTTCTTGTGCCTTCTAATTTCGTAACCACTGCAGTAGCGTGCAATTGGGGAAAATGAAGATGCAAAAAAGATATATGGTAAGAAATTAATCAAGAAGAGCTAGTACTTTAATTTAGTGCTTTGTAATTGTTAAATTTTTGAAACAATATGAAATGGGTATGGGCAACCCGAACAAGGAGGAGGAGAGTACTCCTCTACCTTATAAAGTGAAACCATCTCTCTTCTTTCTCCAATGTAGGATACTCATAAGTGGGTTACAATGAGTTTCAACAGTAATCATGGTATGATTCAAGTTACGTAGCTTTCGCTGATGTACTTGTACCATGGAGGGGGGTATTTTTCTTGCTTCTTTTCTATACTTGTTGCCTTGTTGGAGCAATATGGCAGGGTCAAATTAAAAACCTAAAAACCTTGAGCTTTGATTTTTTGTGCCAAACTCGAGTTAGGTACTTACTGAACTAAGATAAACTAAAGTGAACTGAATTGAATAGAGATGAAATGAATATTTTATGAGAGAAAGAAATTAAAAGCTAAACTGAAGTGAAGTGAAGTGATTGGAAATGAACTGAAGTGAAATTAAGCTAAAGAGAAGAAGCCCTTATCGTGTCATGACACGGGGCCTAAGCTAATGTCATAGTAAAATTAAAAGTTTGGCCTAAGCTAAACTGAAGTGAAGTGATTGGAAATAAACTGAAGTGAAATTAAGTTAAAGAGAAGAAGCCCTTATCGTGTCGTGGCACGGGGCCTAAGCTAATGTCATAGTAAAATTAAAAGTTTGGAGTAAAAATTGTGTAACATCTTCAATGTTGATAATTTTGAGTTTAGCACTATTTAGGTAAGATTATCATTTTCAAACTTAACCATCAAAATATAAATGACAGCATTTTCTAGAAATGTCTCGAACTCTCAACGACCTAGCTAGCTCCATACAACTTGAGTATATATAATTAATGTTGATACTTTGATCATTTGATGCCAGGTTTTTATATTGTACTGTATTACTTTCTCCCTTTTTTTTTGGTTGGAACGTCGTGCATAAAACGTTAGGAAAGATGACGCATGAAAATAAAATGAAATTCATTGCAAAAGATGGTACATCATTCATTGATACAAGTATTAGTTCATCTGTTCATGTATCAACGCAGTGAAAAGAATGACTAATGTAACAATTCAAAAACAAAAAAAAGACAAAAAATCATGAACATGTATTTTTTTATTTACATGTTAATAACTACAAAGAATGAATAGAGGAAAGAAAAAGGAGATTACAACGGTATTCCAGGCAGTAGTAGTAGGTACATACATAAGATATAGGACCCCTTCTAAAAGAAAAACCTGAAGACAACCAAACTCAGCTAACTAATTAATTTATTTATTTATTTTTAAATTAAATCTATTACTGATGAAAGATCTGAGAGGAGGAAGAAGAGGAAGAGAGAGAAAGGCTGGCAAGATTATTGTAGGAAGAAGAATTAGACAAAGAAGAGGAAGACAAGGCCAAGCTTCCTTCGCTCCAGGTTCGTCGAATAGGGTAAGTGACATTTGGTAGTGAAGAAGAGTGAGAACAAGCAGCTCCACCTCGAGAACGATGAAGAGCGCAACTGCAGTTACGGTGATAAGGACGCCGTTGGATCTCGCTGTTGCCGGAGATGCTTCCGTCGAATACACAGTACTGCATGAACATCCCTTGATCTGAGGCTGCCATTGTTTTTGTTTTTTTTTTGGGAGGAGAGAAATAGTCTGTATATTTATTGTAGTTAAGAATATTAAAGGGAAGGTGGGTTTGTTTTATAGAGAAAGAGAAAGGGGAAGGGAGTTGGGAGGTTGCGAGAAATTATAGCTGTCGTACTACCGGAACACGCCTTTTTCTTTTTTCTTTTTTTTAAACTGCTTTTTTCGTTTCTTTGTTTAGATTTTTTTTTGGGTTCGTTCGGTTTAAACACGGAGTATATTACTCCATGTCTTTATTTACTTCTGTTTAACATATGTTCATTTTGGAATGACTTAGGGGTTCTCATACGTTGAAATTCAGTTCAATTCAGCTCCTAATTTCCTTCTCTTATAAAATATTTATTTCAGTTCAGTTCAGTTCAGCTCAGTTTAGTTCAATTCAGCTCATTTCAGTTCAGTTCAGTTCAGCTGAGTTCAATCAATGAGAACATGCCCTAAGAGTCTGTTCTCTTCACATTATTTTTACTTTAGTTCAGTTATAATAAGTTCAGTTCAATTCAGCTAAATTCAGTCAATTAGAACAGACCCTAAAATTAAGGTTATGTTTCATTCACCTTAAAATATAGTAGTAATACTCTATGGAGAATAAAGGTTTGTTCACAGTAACTGAATCGAATTGATTGGAGCTGGACTGAACTGAACAGAATAGAACTGAAATGAATATTTTATGAGAGAAGGAAATTAAGATCTGCACTGAAATGAGCTAATTGGAGTTGAACTGATTTGAAATTAAGATGAGGTGAACAAGCCCTAAGTAAAATATACCTACAATTTATTAAAAATAAGCATATTTCAATAAAAACAATTTCAGTTCACTTACTGGTTAATAATACTTCGTAGATAATTAGTGAAAAATTATTTCATTTCAACGACTTTATTTTTAAAGTGATGATAATAGGGCCTTGATATTTAAATATCCTTGTACTGAAAACTAATACTCTCCGTGTTTCTTCAAATTGTTAACCGCATATTTAAGTTTGTAAGGCATTTGGAATATAACTTTTCTTTAACTCTGTCTAAAGAGTTTTGACGTAGATTTTAGTGTATTTAGATGAAATATAAGATACAGACTAGAATTTTACTTAATGGTAATTAGCCAGCGATTATGGCATTCAAAGTCAATCTGTTGTACCAAGTTAATATTGGCCTATTGGTAAGGGTGGAGCCTTTTATGGGCTCAAATCTTCACTAAGGGTCCTTTGAGGGTAGAACATGCTTCACCCTTCCCTTACTCTTAAGATATTTAGCCCGTACATTCAGTCATGTTGAGCTATGAGATATATTGGTTTAGTAGAAGAGTTTATCTTACCTACTTCAAGACTACTTGCTTCACAAAATACATACAACTTCATTTGATTAGCTCGACAAAAAGAGTCATTCACAATTTAACACTACTAATTTCGAGAAATAATTGACAAAGCGGTGATAAATTACACATACACAATTTATGTTTTTTTTTTTTTTCTTACGAGTGTGTTCTCAATGTCAACCAAACAAACACCTAATTTTTATATTCCGTATAGTATAGATGATAGATGTGGCACTCCAAATAGAAGTGCTACTTACTTAGGTAGTTGATCCATAAAGAACTAAACCGATGTCGACATTGCATACGGAAGTGACGGAACACTCGTCAAAGATTGAGCACTTGATACAAAACGCAATGCAGAATAGTTTTGAAACGTAAAGTAAAGAGAGAGGTTTGAGTTTTAGGGAGAAAAAGTTAAGTGAAGTCGCCCAACGGTCCCCTCACCCCAAATGGAAAGAAGAAGTCCAAATTTGAGAGCTGGAAAGCCGGGCCTCCAACGGGTCCGGGCCGGCCATACATCTGTCACATGAACCATATTATATTGTTGGCAGTTGGCTTTGTCCTTCATTTCCACCATCTTAAACTTTTCATTCAAAGCCAGGCTTTAAATATCTCTACTAGACTAGTCCACTCACTCTGCTTGTTACAATTCCTTAAAAAAAAAAAAAAAAAAAGATTCCAACTTTTTTTAAGCCTCTCAGTTTAATCGGTATATTTGTCAAAACAAAAACTTAGAACGATTAAAAAAATTGATAATTACTGTATAATTATACGAAGTATATTAAAATTATAGTTTTAAATTTTAACAAGCGACATTATGGTTGTGTTTACTCTTACATAGAATGTATAAACACATATTGGTTAAAATAGTATATAAAAATAGTGCAAAAGTGAACATGAGACTTTGTTTTAAAACCCAAAGGGAGTAATGGAAATTCATAGCTAGGTTGGATGAGAAATGGAGAACTAGTTAACTGATGAGCTATTAAAGGGAACTTCCATTTATTGAACCCACTTTGTGTCTTTCACTCGTTCCTAGACTTATTTATTGGACGGTCCAATGAGGGTTGGCAACCATGAGACTATGAGTAGAGGTATGAATTCAAATAATCGGATGGAGTTTGGGTCGGATCTATTCGGGTCGGGTCTATTCGGATTGGATATATTCGGGTCAAAATTATTCTTTTAACTCGGATCGGGTCGGATCAAATGCGGGTCATGTCAATAGATTCCGGGTCGGATATGGGTCGGGTCAACTTCAGATCGGTTCACTTTTGGTTCGGATTAATTTGGATCGGGTTCAAAACGAGTTTAACATGGTTATTTCTGGTCGAATGGATTTGGGTCGGGTTGATTTTGGTTCGGATGATTTCGATTCGGTCAAGTTTGGTTTAATTAAGATAAGGTTGATCCATACCGTTGATTCATTATTGTTCAATTTCAATTCAATTCCTTTTTGTGTTTGGCTGGATTTTGGTCGAGTTAACCAAATTCATATCCAAATAAGGTTATTTTTAAACTAGAGTTATTATTGAGTTTTTACCTTATTATTGGGTTAATATCAAGTCGTATCATATATTTTTATCGTTTGATTATTAATTACGAAATTTTAGTTTTCTCATTTGATCAAGTTATGTGTAATTTTTATCTTTGAGGCAAATTGAAATTGAATAATTATCGATAACTTATTATAGCTATATAAGTGAAACGATAAATAGTGAGCTAGTGATACACTTCTTATTGACAAATGATAGTTATATATGGTGGTATATAGTATACAAATAAGAATGTCATCTTTTTAAGGTTATTATTATAAATTTTCAATTGTACAATCTTCAATGTCATCTTTTAAATGAGACGAATATAAAGATTAGAAAGTAATTTTATATAATTGGTATGTACAATTGTACATGAAGTAAACTTGTTACTTCGAATTTTTTTTTTAGTAAATAAGTTAACTTATTAATAATTACTCCGTAGTAAATATAGTAGTATAAGAACTGGAATAAAAAAGTCGATAATTAATTGTGGTCGGATTAAATTCGGATTGGATAAAAATCAAATCAAGTTAAAATCGGGTCGGGTTGATATTAGTTCGGGTCAAAACAGATCGGATTAGATCGGTTATTTTTCGAGTTAATTTCGGATCGGATTGAGCTCGGGTCTGGTAAAATTGGTTTGATTTAAGTTCAGGTCGGGTCAAATCGGATACGGATTGTGTTCAGTTCGGATCAAATCGGTGTCGAGTTAAGTTTAAATCGGGTCAAGTTCGGATTCGGGTCGAGTTAAGGGATGGCAATGAGGCGGGTCGGATACGGATGATGGTACCTCCATACCCATACCCGCCTAAAAATCTTATACCCATCTCCACCCCACAACCCGTGGCGGGTACAATATTCACATCCATACCCGCCCCACCGGGTACAATATAGGATCCATCCCCGCCCCATCACCCACTTGGATATTCATACCCGCCCCAAAATCGTCCCAAACTCATTGCCACGATGCTCTACCGTATCACATTAATGATAATTATATCAAATTAGGTTAAGAAAATTGGGACTTTCACTATTCAAGCTAATTAAGTTTTAGGGATTATCAAGTTTCATAAATTCTAAACTCTTCCAAAAGAAATATGGTGCGGCCGTGCGGGTATAAGGTGGGTACGGGGCGGGGCGGGGCGGATATGGGGCTGGTCTACTCTAAAATCCATACCCATCCCATCACCCACGACGGGTACACATTTTATACCCATCCCCGCCCCATCACCTGCCAAACCTCCCTCCATCTCCACCCTAGTATGGGGCGGGTCTTCCATTTAACCCGACCCACTGCCATCCCTAGTTGAGTTCGGTTCGATTACAGATTGGGTTTGGGTCTTGATTTTCTCGGATCAAATTGGATCGGTTACAGTTTAGAACAGATATTTTTTTTCGAGTCGGTTCGGTTTTGATATAACTCTAACTATGAGAGTTATAAACATGTTCAAGGTTATGTGCTACAGAGTAATTAACAAAATTAGTCTTAAAAGGTGATTTTTATGCATGATTTCAATATATTTAATTTACTAATAATCATTATTATATGGGTACTTTGTGGCATGTAATTTCTTAACCTTCACTTTTATGGGGTATGTATGTATAATTATTTAGAATCTCTATTGTTGTTTTCTCATTAAGCATATCAATTTTTCTATGCAAGAATTTGTGGCTTGTTTGAACTCCTTTGTTGTCCAATGCAAGTTATTCTAATTTGAGCACTTACTCCTCATATTTAATAAAGATTTGGTCTTGGGATTCAACCTCTAAGATTATGTATGGATCAAATCAAATTTTACACCTTCCAATTAGATTGTCATGCCTATTTTAATCTCTCTTAAATTTCGACATGACTTGTTACCCAAATAAAAGAAGTTTTTATCTAAGAGAAATGATAGTCCTTAACAAAATTAATCTATCTTTGGGGCGTGACATTTATGTAGGTAACTTCTTGTAAACTTGATACCCTAGCTCTTTCTCAAGTTATCTTATATACGAAGTAGGTAAATTCTATTATTCTAGTCTCCTCTCCTAAGTTACTTTATATATATTTATATTTTGCGTATACTTTATTTTCGAACCTGAAGTTAAGTAATCAAACCCCCAATTACCTAGCAAAATAAAAAC